TCAGATCAATAGTTCAGGTTATATTGGATCAATAGTTCAGGTTATATTGGATCAATAGTTCCGGTTATATCAGATCAATAGTTCCGGTTATTTCAGATCAATAGTTCAGGTTATATTGGATCAATAGTTCAGGTTATATTGGATCAATAGTTCAGGTTATATCAGATCAATAGTTCCGGTTATATTGGATCAATAGTTCCGGTTATATTGGATCAATAGTTCCGGTTATATCAGATCAATAGTTCAGGTTTTATTGGATAATTATGCCCGGTTTTATTTGTTTATCAGTTCCAGTTATATAACATCATTGGTTCCCGCTTTATAAGATTATTATATCCAGTTTTATAAGATCATTGGTTCCAGCTATATAAGATTATTAGTTCCGGTTTTATCAGATCATTATATCCGGTTACATCAGATCATTACATCCGATTATATAAAATCATTATATCCGGTTATATCAGATCATTAGATCTGGTTTATCAGATCATTATTTTCGGTTAAATCAAATTATTAGATCTGGTTATGTCAAATCATTAGATCCAGTTATATAAGATCATTAGATCCGGTTATATAAGATCAATAGATCCGGTTATATCAGATCATTCGATCCGGTTATATAAGATCATTGTTCCGGTTATACAAGATCAATAGATCCCGTTATATCGGATCAATAGTTCCAGTTAAATTGGATAATTAGGCCCGGTTATATTTAATTATTAGTTCCAGTTATATAACGTTATTAATTCCAGCTTTATAAGAGCATTGGTTCCAGTTAAATAAGATCATTGGATCCAGTTATATAAGATCATTGGTTCCAGTTATATTAGATCATTGGTTCCAGTTATATAAGGTCATTAATTCCAGGTATATAAGATTATTAACTCCAATTATATAAGATCATTGGTTCCAGCTATATAAGATTATTATTTCCAGTTTTATAAGATTATTAGTTCCGGTTATATAAAATCATTAGTTCCAGTTATATAAGATCACTAGTTCCATTGATATAAAAGATCACTAGTTCCAGTTATAAATGATCATTAGTTGGTTATATTAGATCACGTGGGTCTGGTCATATTAGATCACGTGGGTCTGGTCATATTAGATCGTTTACGCAGAATAAAAAAACATTTGCACATTAATCTAAATATATTTTTCCAATGAAATAAATTATTAAGGACCGAATTTAATGAATTTGGTGGTCGCTGAACTGCTTACCGCTGGTTCAAATTTGAATCACCGATTCAAATTCCTCCTTAATATTTAACTTTGAATCGGCGATTCAAAGTTGTTAGTTCACTAACGTAGTTCAAATTCTTTAAATTCGGTCACTGAACTTGTAAAGTAAAGTTGAAAATACTTCAAAAACATTTCTTGGTTTAACTTTTTCAATTCTATCATCGTTCAGTATAAAATATACTTTTCTTTGTATATTATACATTGAAGAATATACAAACTCTAAACTATAATTAAAAGTTTAAATGTTCTGTATTCGAGAAACTATTTCTATAGCGTAGCTTAAAAATCTATATTTTCCAAGGAATGTCATATTTGAAATTAAATATTATGTAGAGATATACATCATACAGTGAGTATTGATAAACATGGAAATTAAATGTAAATCTGAATACCAATCTATGATAAAGCTCAATTCGCTCATATGTATATATATGTTCGCTGCCTATATATGGCCAATTGATTAAACCAAATTTACTTCATTTTTTTTTGAGGGATCTAACGGATACCCTGGGGATAACATAGACTAAATAAATTTTGGATTTTTTATTCCACGGGCAACGCCGGGCACTTCAGTTAATCTCACGATTTAAAACAAAGCGCGAGTAAACGGCGGGAGCAAAGAGATTTGTAATATTCTACCGTCTTTGGGCGGGAGTAACTATGTGTAATAATATAAACCTGCACATCGCTGGGCACTCCCGCTAGTATTTAATATTTATTATTATTTATTATTAGTATTTAACAAAAAATATTAAAATCTCAACAGCTCAAATTTTTCTGCCACAATTGTTTTAACAACAGAGTCAGACAAAATTTTGGAAAACTCAGATTTTAAGTAATATTGTTCTTGAATGTACGTAGGTGTATATTAAGATATTTATAGGAGATCTAAGTAATATTGTTCTTGAATGTAAGTAGGTGTATATTAAGATATTTATAGGAGATGTAAGTAATATTGTTCTTGAATGTACGTAGGTGTATATTAAGATATTTATTGGAGATCTAAGTAATATTGTTCTTGAATGTACGTAGGGGTATATTAAGATATTTATAGGAGATGTAAGTAATATTGTTCTTGAATGTAAGTAGGTGTATATTAAGATATTTATAGGAGATGTAAGTAATATTGTTCTTGAATGTACGTAGGTGTATATTAAGATATTTATAGGAGATGTAAGTAATATTGTTCTTGAATGTACGTAGGTGTATATTGAGATATTTATAGGAGATGTAAACTTGATTTTAATTAATCCCCCAATGAAAGATCTGAGTGACCTGTCCGATTTACAACGGTACCAATGGACGCTAGCATTGTCTCATTAAGATTAAATAATAAATTGAAATTGAGGTTTCTTGCTTCATGAACAATGGAGAAATTATCGAAATTAAACACTTGTTAAGCCATAAAAACGAGGTTATCTTCCATACTATTTATATCTTAGATCAAGGTTTCAAGGATACCGAAGAGAGTTAGGTATTTAAATGGAGGATCATTTAGAATTCCGACGACAGTTCCTTTAAGAAAAGAAATAAAAAGTTGGCCTTGTTTTACGAGCTTTAACTGTCTATATTATTTCTTCTAATAAATCCAAGTTAAATACCATTTTTATCAATATTTGATGAGGAATCTATATTCAATTATCTATGATCGTTTTATTACCAAAAACCAGAGCTGGGATTGGGTGAACACTAATAAATGTTATAAATATTTATAAATACGTAGAATTGGAAGAACCCATTTCTCTCTTACACTTAATCAAAAAAAAATACTGAAAAACCACAAATTTCACGACTAAGACTTACTGTCATTCCTGACATCCTATTCATCTGATATAATAAATACTAGCTCAAGTTTCTATTTATCTGATATAATAAATACTAGCTAAAGTTTCTATTTATCTGATATAATAAATACTAGCNCCCCCCCCCCCCTTCAACAAAATTCAGACAATTTGGTCAGCCGTGTGGCCAGATATAGCTTGAAATAAGTCTAGAAGATGTTCTATTGTTTATTAAGATTGGTTTTTGTGGGACACTGTGTTTCATATCGGATATTCTTCTGCAGCATCTACATATATATATATATATATATGAGCAAAGAGCTTTATTATATATGTGCTTTGATTTGGACAAATTTTATATTTGTCTGGTGGGGCTAAAAAACATTAATTTTATTCCTCGATCTTGAAAAACAAATGCTAAACCTATTTTTCATCTGAAAATGACAACATTGTCTTGTCGACTCGTAAACATGAAATATGTATCTCTGCAATATTTTAGAGAAAAGCAAATAAAAATGAATATTTTTAACCAAACCACGGAACCTAGGTAACGTTTATGAACGCTTAGAAATTTTCATGTGAGTTTTACTTTTAATTCCGTTTCCAAAAAAAAAGAATTTTCAACGTTTTATCATACATTGTTGAACCCAACAGACAAACAGATCTAGATAGATAAATACAATGTGAATGCAGATTTTTACATACAAATACATAAATTTAGATAAAGATAACAAGAACATATATTTTTATATAAAATAATATTTTACCCCAGCCTAGTAGAAGACAGTGTCTAAGTTTGATAGAACCAAGACTGAAGCTTGCCTGAACCTGCAGGAACAGATACAAACCTAAACATTAAACTATATACTATGTACAGTGTAACCAGCAGGAACAGATACAAATCTAAACATTAAACTATATACTATGTACAGTGTAACCTGCAGGAACAGATACAAATCTAAACATTAAACTATATACTATGTACAGTGTAACCTGCAGGAACAGGTACAAACCTAAACATTAAACTATATATTATGTACAGTGTAACCTGCAGAAACAGATACAAACCTAAACATTAAACTATATATTATGTACAGTGTAACCTGGAGGAACAGATACAAACCTAAACATTAAACTATATATTATGTACAGTGTAACCTGCAGGAACAGTACAAACCTAAACATTAAACTATATACTATGTACAGTGTAACCTGCAGAGCACAAAACTTAAGACAGGGTATTGTTATAAAAACCAGTTTTGAAACCCAGGTTTCACGAATGGGGTTAGGCAGTTTTGTAGATATCAATATTTTTGTTCTGAAATATTATATTATATAGTTTCTTTATTTTCTCCTTTTCTTCGGATCTCTTAAATTGAAATCTACTTAAATGTTAAGACTCCCAAATGGAAACTCGGGAGTTTCATTCAACTATACTCTTTTAAATTTCGGGCTCAGGAATAGATACAAACCTAAACATTAAACTATATATTATGTACAGTGTAACCTGCAGAAACAGGTACGAACCTAAACATTAAACTATATATTATGTACAGTGTAACCTGCAGAAACAGGTACGAACCTAAACATTAAACAAAGAAATAATAGAAGCGTATCTAAAATTTCTATGCATCCTCTGGGTTATCGTTATTTTCAGACTTAATATGATCTGTTTAAACTTTGATTCTAATACCATGTCACGTATATATTTATTTTAGTTTACGTATCACTTCTATAATTCGGACACAGTTTTACATCAGATAGAACTATTATTAGTCGCGATCAATTCCTAAAATTTCTAGGCCTTTAGCCTTAAGGTCGGTTCAAGAAACCTTAATAGCACTCTTAAATAGTCCTGGTTTACTATAGTTTCAGTAAATATTTCCATTTACTATAATAGCGCTGATATAAGGATTTATCTCTAATTGGATAATGTTACCGCTATGCAATTTCTTGGTTCAGAATAGACACCAAACACATGGCTGAACCCTGATTGGATCAGGTGCTATGGACTCGGCATACTAGAGTGGGTTGGTAGGATTTAGGCTAGATCATCTACCCTACGAATTCATAAGTTGTGCTAATACCGGTATTAACAGTATTAACTAAGAGCGGTGTTAACTAATCCATCTGCAGGGTAGATTAGAGGCCAGTCCAAGAGTCCGGAATCTAAAGAGTGGTATAAGAGCGGTATTAGCTAATACCACTCTTATACCACTCTTAACACTAACACCGGTAGTTAGGAAATACGGATTCATCAGTCGCTAATGCTGCCTAATTTGTGGCAGGATTATCTAGCCTAGAACTGCTGATGCGTTCATAAGCAAAAGGATTATCATCCAATCTTTACCGTTTTTATTCCTCTGTGAAACTCTTTTCTTTCTCAACGTAATGATTTTTTAATTATTAAAAAGACGACTTTTAAATAATACTTTCTTTATTTTATGACGAAAGATAGATTTAAAATTCATGGAAATATTTTGCAAGCTAAACTTTTTACATTTCAATCAAATCAAAGTTAAAAAATTAAAACTTTTAAATAAAATATATATTTTATAAAAAAAAATTCTTTATTAAAGATTTTCTCATAAATTTTTTTTTATATTCAAAATATTTTATTAATACAGTTATTTAAGGAGGGGGAGGGGGGGGTAATTAAGCAAAATAAGAAGTATTTCTTCGTTTTTTATGCATTCCTGTATTTGAAACATCTCTGTAGTTCATGAGGTTGTGAGAAGAGTAGAGTAGAGTAGAGGATCTAGCCTAATGGCCGGTTCAAGAAACCTTAATAGCGCTCTTAACTAATCCTGGTTAGTAGTATTTAGGCTAGATCATCTACCCTACGAGTTCATAAGTTGTGTTAATACTGGTATTAACAGTAAGGCCAGTTTAACTAAGAGTGGTGTTAGCTAATCCACCCGCAGGGTAGTTTTAGGGATGCTTTAAAAACAGAGATGCATAAAAAAACGAAGAAATACTTCTAACTTGGCTAAAATCTAACACCGATATGAGTGTTAAGAGTGGTATAAGAGCGGTATAAGCTAATACCGCTCTTATACCAGTCTTAAGATTCCGGACTCGTGAACTGGCCTTATAAACCCTTTCATTTTACCTTAACAGTCCCTATAAATGAAATGCTCTATCTTGTATAAACTGCATAATTTCGGTACTATTTACTAGATTTATTAAATAGCTTAAATTTAAAATTTAACTGACGAGGGTCAACCCAAACCGAAATATATTTTCAATAAATATGGAACTAACATCTACTTTTTTACTCTACAGAGGTTTGGTCCATCACCATCACCGAATTCTAAGAAAAATACTCCTTAGAAAAAATGCTCCCTAGCTAGGAAATAATAGCTATAGATAGAATACTATTTGTAATAGCTTTACAAATTTTTATCTTAATTAAAAATGTAACGTTTCAGATAAAGAACAGTCCTAGCTATTCGCTAGCTATAGATTTCATACTACAGCTAGCTAGAAAATACATTTTTTTCTTCTCAAATTGCCAGTTTTAATACAGTTTTAGGAGTATACGCAGTTCTTGAAAATATCATGTACTTTGTAGTTAATATTCTTGCAATTTAGATTAGAATGATTTGTAAAAGAAATATTCTTGTAGTCTAGTTTAGTTGAATATGTTCCTTCATGTTTTCATTTTGGTGCTTGTATTTAGAGAAATCGTTAGTGAAAATACTAACTGGAACAGAAATAGTGCAAAAACATCGTGAGAGAAGAGAAATAACTTGACATGAACTACGTAAGATTGACTAAACTACAGGCTGAGGCCTAGACTGTGACATATTAGTGGGAATAAATCCAACCCAATTTCAATTTAATAAATTACGAAGATAATTTAAATCTAAATCTGCACCTTGACATCGTTAAGGTAAAAATTTCACTTTATCGAATCCAAATTTTCCGGCAGTAATGAGAGGGGAAGGAGAAGGGAAGGAGAAGGGAAGGAGAAATGAAGGAGGAGGAAGGAGAAGGGATAGAGAAGGGAAAGACAACGGAAGGAGAAGGGAAGGAGAAGGGAAAGAGAAGGAAAGGAGAAGGGAAGGAGAAGGGAAGGAGAAGGGAAGGAGAAGGAAAGGAGAAGGGAAGGAGAAGGAAAGGAGAAGGGAAGGAGAAGGGAAGGAGAAGAGAAGGGAAGAAGAAGGGAAGAAGAAGGGAAGGAGAAGGGCAATTCTATTGAGAAAGTTGAAAAGCAACTTAGCGAGGACATCTTTACATCCTTTGAAAAACNGGAGAAGGGAAGGAGAAGGGAAGGAGAAGGGAAGGAGAAGGGAAGGAGAAGGGAAGGAGAAGGGAAGGAGAAGGGAAGGAGAAGGGAAGGAGAAGAGAGTCAGAAAACGGGAAAAAATATATTTAAGAAGAAAAAGATAATAAAGAATAAGATGTAAAGGGGGAAGAAGAGGGGAAAGAGAACACGAAAAGACAAAAGAGATGAAAATGTCATTTAACCTTCCTTATTTAACTTCCCTCACCCCTTTCCTCACTGAAAACCAAGATGATCACGTTCTCAAGCAAAAATCGAGCAGTATTTTACCAAGAACTCTTTTTAAACGTTGCACGTTACAGTTTAGAATGTTTATGTCTAAGGCTACAAAAAAGTATGAGGGACTTGGTGAGCCAAAGATGTTGCGACACTTCAAAGTCTAGGCTGTCTAAATAATTGAAGAATAACATTTTATACTTGTCTCGATATCAGTGTTCTCTTTCATCTAATCTCCTTTTTTCATACCCCATCTCCCCTTTCATCCAACCTCTTTTATTCCTCCTCCTCCACTCTTCTCCTTTCATCCACCCTCTTTTATTCCTCCTCCTCCACTCTTCTCCTTTTATCCAACCTCCTTTATTCCTCCTCCTCCACTCTTCTCCTTTCATCCACCCACTTTTATTCCTCCTTCTCCACTCTTCTCCTTTTATCCAACCACCTTTATTCCTCCTGCCTCCCCCCTTCTTTATTCACCCTCTTTTATTCCTCCTCCTCCACTCTTCTCCTTTTATCCAACCTCCTTTATTCCTCCTCCTCCACTCTTCTCCTTTCATCCACCCTCTTTTATTCCTCCTTCTCCACTCTTCTCCTTTTATCCAACCTCCTTTATTCCTCCTGCCTCCCCCCTTCTTTATTCTCCCTATCTAGATATTTCACTTCATGTTTACAAACTTGAACTATTGGGAGGGATAGTTAACTAATTTGAAAACATTTAAACATCTTAAAATTTAAACGAAAACAAAGAAATTGTTCAAGATGCTCGTCGTTAATAAGATGTTTCTTGAATTCTCTAAAAATATTAGTTTTTATTAATAACTAAAACATGACATAAAGGTGTAAGAAAGATTGATTTAAGAAAAAAATGAGATTTTAGAATGAGCTCTCTGTCAGTATACGGTCTGTGTCAATCCATCACTTGATACTAGTAATTGGGAAGTTTTGGATTACAATTATTTTGAGCTTTCAATCTATTCTCAAACTTCAAGTTTGTCCTTGAAAATAAGACAGCATTCACGGCAGAATTCTTGCTAAAAGACATATATTTACACATCTATATATTTCTAGCTAATTTTAAAAATTCAATATTTAGAACTCGAAACATAAACTTCGCTTTTTCTGAGAAGATGAAGAAAACTTTTATAGTATATATAGAAATAGAAGATTACAGAGGAACTAGGAGAATACAGGAGAATACAGGAGAATACAGGAGAATACAGGAGAATACAGGAGAATACAGGAGAATACAGGAGAATTCTGGAGAATACATGAGAATACACCAGACCTTTCACTTTTAATGGATTAAATACTTTTGAAGTTTTTAACATCTTGCTGCGTCAGTTTTCCAGACGTACTTGGACTTATAACTCAAATTTAAACTTTTTCAGGAGCCAGATTTTAACTGAATTTGAAGTTAAAATATTTAAAATGTTTTCAATAAACTGCTAACATACATTAAGTACAGGAGAGAAGGTGAGAAATTTCAGCTACGCAATTCATGAATTAAATATATTTCAGGAATCCCGTGAGAGAAGGGGGGAGAGAAGGGGAAGGAGTTAACATGAGAAGGGGAAGGAGTAGGAACATCAGAAGGTGGAGGTGAAGTAATAGGGACATTTTTAGGATAAGAAGGGAGAGGAGTAGAAGGAGGAGAAGGAGGAAGAGGGGAACAGTAGGAACAGGAGAAGGAGGATGAGGGAGAAAGAGGATGAGGAGGATGAGGAGGAGGAGGATAAGGGAGAAGAGGATGAGGAGGATGAGGGGAAGGAGGATAAGGGAGAAGAGGATGATGAGGATGAGGGAGAAAGAGGATAAGGGAGAAGAGGATGAGGAAAAGGATGACAAGGGAGAAGAGGACGAGGAGAATGAGGAGAAGGAGGATAAGGGAGAAGAGGACGAGGAGGATGAGGAGAAGGAGGACGAGGAGGATGAGGAGAAGGAGGATATTGGAGAAGAGGATGAAGAAGATGAGGAGATAATGGAGGATATTGGTATGAGTGAGTGTTGGTGAGACATAGAGAAGAGGATGAGGAGGATGAGGAGGATAAGTTGAAGGCGGAGGAGGAGAAACAGGAGGAAGAGGGGAAGAAGGAAGAACATGAGGATGAGGAGGAGGAGGAGAAGGTGGAGGAGTGGAAGGAGGAGGAACATGAGGAGGAGCAGGAGGCGGAGGGGCAAGGAGTAGGAATAGGTGAAGGAGGATGAGAAAGAAGAAAATGAGGGGAAGGAAGAGGAAATTGCAAGAATTATTGTAAGAATAAGTATGAATATGAATTTATAAAGAATTGATGAAATATGAGAATGAGGATGAGTAAAAATAAAGGAACAAGTACGAGGAACAAGATTGGGATGAGGATGAAAACAATATGAAGAATTTATTACCTTCTACAAACATCCAGAAGAAGTTTGAGATGTGAAAGTATCGTTGAGGTATATGTGAACTACAGTAGATAGATGAAAGTGTATCTGACTGACTGGATAAACTCACATGCTGAAATATATTTCAAATTCATCAATCTTATTAAAAAGCAAACTTTACTAACAAGTTTTCCTAAATAATTTGTAATTTTCGGAGCCCTTATCATGTAATCTTAAATTAAAAACTAAAACATAATTTAACCTTTTTTGAGACACTTAATAATAAATCTGGGAATAGCCTTAGTTCAGAAAAACAGTTGAACAGTAAAATAGTGCAATCTTATAATTTTTTGTTGTTGCAAAATTTCGTTTTTTGCACTCTAGGTAGTTAGCAGGGGGGGGGAAGAAGAAAGTAATCCCCCCCCCTTAGACAACTATAGGTTGGAAAGTTTCTCGTAAAGTAATAATTGCAAAAAACAAAAAAGGGATTTTTCTTTCTAAACTTGATTCCCTGGCGGATAAAAATGTGTCAAATGTGACATTTAAACTTTTTGATACGTCTGTCATATCGTATTCCTGGATTTTCTTACAGTTGGAAATAGTTTCTGGCGCATTTATTTAACTTGAAACCATTACATTCTCCTCTGTTTATTTAGATTTGTATTGTAAAAGAAAGAATTTTAAAAGTCGAAAATAGTCGAGAAAAATAAAAAAGCATGGCCGAAATTTATTTTTTCCCGCCCTCCTTCAAAAAGTAGGTAAATAGGTGGTTTTATTTCTTTGCTTGAGCAAATTCCCTCTTCATTTTTTATAATGTTGTCGCTTCCATCCAGAAAAGCGTTTTCTAGTGACATTAATCCAGATGTTGAATTTTAAAGTAGAACTTTTTTCTTATTATTACATTATCATTTATCCTGAAACTTTTAACTCATCTCACAAAATCTTTTGCAAGTTAATTATTAAAATTCGCAAATTCAGAAGTCTCTAATACTTGAACGTGTTCATACTGGCTCTTCAAAAAAGAATATATTTGGAGACTTAAAGGCTTTAGAAACCATCAAAATGAAATCTCCACCTCTTCATGAGAAAGCTTGGAGTAAGTTTAGAGATTTCTTTTTCTGTTCACTGGAGTTTGATACAAGAATACCATCTGAAGAAGAGTTTTCAACCTATTTCCGATTTCTGAGACCAGATAAAGGTTTATCTACGTCAACATTGTGGACAACTTATAGCTTGCTAAATTCTATTTGTAAGGGGAAATATAGTAACTCTCTCCAACAGTATCCAAGACTGCAATCTATCATCAAAGCATGTAAAAAAGAGAATTTGTCATGAATGACACTCTCTCGGGTCCATATTGGCTTGTTCGGAAAGCCTTGGTTATTATCGCCTTTTTCGGAGGACTCCGCCCCACTGAGGTCATAAGCTTGGTGCTGGAAAAAATCAGTATTGGACAAGAAGGAGTTTATGTGGTTCATGAACGTGCCAAACAAAGATCGGACCAACAAAGTTCCAGGTTAAATACTGGGCGGCTTTTGTCCAAACCTATGTTAAATTTAACTGGATTTGAATAGATTCACTGGCCGTGTTTTTTGGACAGGAAATTTTTGACATCAAGTAAATAGTGAACAATTTTTGTCCAAGATTTATGAGTTTCAACTTCTGCTAATTGATTAATTTTGTTTTTGCAAAGTAGCTAAAAACCAGCATCTTGGAAAAATATGATAGCTGAGGTTTCACATGAGGTTGTTAGAACTCTTAGAAAAACAAAAATTGCAGAATATACTTATATAACCTTTATACTGTCAATGGTAGATGTCAAAGTCTGCTACAGTCAACAAGAATGGGTTCACACCCTTTGCTAATGGTGGATGTCAAAGTCTGCTACAGTCAGCAAGAATGGGTTCACACCCTTTGCTAATGGTGGATGTCAAAGTCTACTACAGTCAACGAGTATGGGTTCACACCCTTTGCTAATGGTGGATGTCAAAGTCTACTACAGTCAACAAGAATGGGTTCACACCCTTTGCTAATGGTAGATGTCAAAGTCTACTACAGTCAACGAGTATGGGTTCACACCCTTTGCTAATGGTGGATGTCAAAGTCTACTACAGTTAACGAGTATGGGTTCACACCCTTTCTAATGGTGGATGTCAAAGTCTACTACAGTCAACGAGTATGGGTTCACACCCTTTGCTAATGGTAGATGGCAAAGTCTACTACAGTCAACGAGTGTGTGTTCACACCCTTTGTTAATGATGAATGTCAAAGTCTACTAAAGTTAACGAGTATGGGTACACACCCTTTGCTAAAGGTAGATGTCAAGTCTACTACAGTCAACGAGAATACATTTCTACTTTTGCTGAATCAATATGTATTTATAAGTTCAATGAATGCATTCCTGAAAATGTTTTGATTATTTGAGTGCTGAATAATTATCTACTTGTAAATGCACAATGAATGTATATTCAGTTGAGATTTCAATATGCATACTTTGTTTCAACAAAAACTATCAAACAAAATTATCAAACATTATATTTTGAATTGACTCATAATAAAGTTTCTTTTGTGTTTTATTTTAAGCTGAACCATCATACATTATTATTTTGTATTTTGTGTTTGAAAATAAATACTATAACTTTCCATTCATGCTGCTGCTGCAGACAATGGAACCTCAGCTCAACAATTACTCAGTTTCTATGGCTGGAAATCTGTTAATATGCCTCAAGAATAAATATCAACTAGTAGTTGTGCATTGATGAATATGGTTTCTCTATTAAGTAACCCAACTGCATATACAGTTGAGAACTCTATAAATGTCAAGATTGTAACTTCTGAAATTACAGAGAATCCTGCTGATACTGAACTAGAGACATCTCTTGAACCTAAACAATCAGCTAGGGAAGGATCTTCGGTTCAGCAAGAAACTGCCTTTTTTGGCACAGGAGGATCTTGCAAGAATCTGCTTTTTTTGGCCAAGGAGGATCTTGCAAGATAACTAATAAATGACAATGTTGTCATGATTCTCTCCTTTAATGGAACCATTAATCTTTGTAAAATAACATTATTGTATCTATGTTCAGTATCTATATAACCTGAGATGGAATTTAAAGAATTTGAGCCGCGGTTTAAATCCGCCAAAACCCGGTTTAAATTAAGCGCCGGCTTAAATCATGAAACATTTGATACAATTTTAAGTGGAACCAACCATATTTAAACTGCGGCTTAAATTTAAACCGCCGCTCAAATTCTTTAAATTCGGCCACTGATTGTAATAAAGTTTGCTATAGTATTTATTATGATGATTGAAATTACTAGCCGGGATATACTATTGGCAGCAGGGAATCAATACATATTATATCCCTGCTAAAAATATTTCACCTCGGCTCAAGTTATTTTATCCCGGACAAAATGAATTTCAGGTTGACTTAATAACATAGTAAAATAAGGGCAGCCAAGAAATAAATATTTTTAAAAAGTCTCGAAAAATTTAAATTTATTATTTCCGTCCCCCTTCAACTAGTAGGTATATTTAAATAGATATTGATTTTTTGTTTAAAAAATACTCAGCTTATGAACGGACACTAAAAATGCGACTGGGAGGAAACAAAGTTTTAAAATTCATTAATTAACTTAAACTCTTATTTACGCTTTCACTGTTTACTATTTCGTGGAATTTTTCTTCCAACAATTATACTTCTGAGAACTATTTCTAAACTATTTAACAAAATTCCTGAAATATATTTAAAATATTCAAACTGAAGAAGTAAGAAATCGTATAACGAAGTATATAAGAAGAATAAAGCCTAGTTAATAATAATTAATTACATGATATAAAGCAAGCTGTATGTTTGTTTAGTACTTGTTTTTACATAAATAATAATATAGTCATCAAATAGACAAATAATTCTTATCAGTATATCCTGCAGTGCAGCTTTATTGTGCAGTAGGTCTGTAGGAGAATAGAAATATTTTCAAAATAAACCAAAGATTTAGAGAATTAACAAACAAAAAAACATTGAAGGTTTTAATTTTCATAAATATCGATTTTACTCTTTAAAATAACTTCACAAATGGCCAAAAACTCTTGATTCCTTCGACCTTACAAATGCTAAATTGTCTTGACAATTGTTATCAGAAATTCTGAACTCTCTTGTCCTAACAAATTCTTAATAAATTCAAATCCAGAGATCAAGAAGATTATCAGTAAAATTTAAAAGTGCCCACTGCGAACATCGAGACAAACACAAAAGTTGCCAGTTTACCTGAATGACTGCTATGAGTACCCAGCAAAGGTTAGATACAAGAAGACTAATGAACAAGTTTGTGTGGATTTTGTGTCTTAAACATCTCATTTCCCTAGACAATAGAATATAACAACAGTTTTAAATTTCTCCAGGGTTATTATCTATACTTTCACTCTTGTAACACCAGACACGTTTATCATGGAAACAGAACTTGTTCTGTTAAATAAGTGTTTGTATTTGTTATCAAATAGAAATCTGTATCGAACCTGACGAGTTGCAGGAGTAACAGACTACAAGACTAAACCAAATTAACTTTGGTTTAAGTTAACATAGTTTAATGTAAGAAAAAAATTAGATTTTAGAAACTCTTTATGATATGTGAAGGGTTTTATCAAAAGTGTCGAGTGGAGGAGGAGTTTGTTAAATTAAACTTAATAATTGAGTTTGTTCTTGGGAGTTTTAAAAGCTTACAAAACTTAAACCAAATGAACATAGTGGACTCTGGTCGTTTCGGAGTAGCATAGTAGACTAGCTCAGGTTGGAATTGAAAGATATCTTAATTGAGAAGTTGTGAATTAGTAACGGATGGTTGAACTAATTCTCGCGTTTAAGAGAAGTATTTTTACTAGCTATACCCTTTTTTGGTTCAATTAACTTCTTATTATTCATTAATTCCGACCCTTGAAAGGGTTGAATTCTCAAAACTCACGGTTTCGTTTGATTTGAGCCAAGAGCTAAGTAAAAAGAGAATTTGAAAATCGTTTGGATCCTCACTAGCTTTCGTCCTGGTTTAAATAGCAACCCGACTCAGTGGTAGTTCATAGTTTGTGGGGAAATAGAAAGGATCGGTTTATTTGTATCAGACATTAAATTTTATAATTATCATATAATTGCACCCTGATGTTGTGATGTACAATGTACACCTTTGCTATTTCAAATTATGAATTCTGCTAAATTAAATAGCCAACGATGGAAATAACAAAGAGTTACATCTTCAGGTTGCAAAGATACAGGTTATTAAAAATTTTAGTTTGAGGCATGTTACAATTAATTAATTAAACACTCGCCTAATACTCTAATTTATATTTTGAAATATCAAGATATACGATGTCAGCTTAATATAAGGAAAAGAAATTAGATTATGAGGCGAGTAATAAATTAAGTAAAAATTGTAATCAATATGATTACGTGAACGCACAATTAACACTATAACTCATATTTTATATGTTTATATATATGTATACGTTTTCTTTGTAAAAGTCTGATAGGACCGTTTAACACAATTAATATTAGAATATTGGTCGACTGTCTATATTATTGGAAATATGTACACTGTAGTGTAGACTGCTGCATACATACATATATTGGTAACACAAGTAACACAATATTTACCGAGCTAACTTTGGTGTTAAAGAACAAAACTTTATCTTAGATCCTAGATCTTAGATCCTAGATCTTAGATCCTAGATCTTAGATCCAGTATGCACGTTCTTTATCCAAATCATTTCATTAAAATTCTTTGGATTGGATTCTAGTAGTTTGATCCACGATTATAGGTTCTTGATCCAAGATTCAAGAAGAAAGGGATGGGGTTTGAGGATCCGTAGTTCTCAATCATAATAAGATGAGGACCAGAATCCTTGGATTGCAAGGATTTTATATGCTAGAGACGTATATCTTACTTGAAGTATAGAAAGATGAATATAGCAAGGATGAGAGCAATCATGGATACAGTGTATCCGAGTAGGTAGATATACAGCTCATGATCCTCCTGGCACAGTTTAGGCTCCTACAGTACAGTATTTAATTCAATGTATTAATTGGTACTATTTAAAGAAGCATATGGGGGGGGGAATTTTTGCCGATTTTCTATGCAGCATACATCACACCAATCCGAACCAGCGCGTAGTATTTACTGGTACCGTACGGTTTAGTGCACTCGTATTGTTTGTGCATTTACTGGTACCAGCAGGTCTAGTGTGCACAGTGAATAGTGGACGTTTTATAGGCTGGTTGAATTGATGTAAACTATATAATGACAATTTTGGCTTCTAACAAAATTATATTGAAATGTTTAGACAACTTTCGATTTCGGTATTTTTGCTAGGCTTAAAAGGCAGAACACATTTTGGAATTGCAAGGACATTTCATACTAAGTGTTTCAAGAATCATATTTGTAAACTTATAATTACTGCTGAGAAGTACAATGTCTCAAGAATGTCATAGTTAACTTATCAATGAAATGTCTCGTGTTTTGTGGAACACACCGTATATTGTACAGATTGTATCAGCACAGTTATGTAATAAAGCAAAGGATACACAGGGAGCCTTTCAGTTAGAAATTAATTAGAAAAAAGTAATTATTCCTGGTGATATTCAATATTTACGTTATATATGTATATTTGATAAATAAATTAGTACGCCAGAATAATAAACAACAGGAACAGGAATAAATATTTCAAGGAAGAAAAACAAATTGTTGAGTGCAAAAAGGAGATAAATAAAAGATGAACTATAAATAGAGATTAAAAACTAATGGAAAAATGGAAAGTACTTTGATAAAAGATAACTAGTGTCCGAATTTAATGAATTTAACCTGCGTCTCAAATTCCCTAAAAACCGGTTTCAATGGAGCGCCGGCTTAAATCTTGAAAATTACGAAAAATCGTGTGAATTAAGAAAAGTTGATTAGTGGATGAGTAAATCGATGAAAGGATGAATGATTAAATGAATGGTTGAGTAAATCTATGAAAGTATGAATGACTAAATGAATGGATGAGTAAATCTATGAAAGAATGAATGACTAAATGAATGGATGAGTAAATCTATGAAGGGATGAATGACTAAATGAATGGATGAATGATGAATAGAACCTGTAGACAAGGATCCTCTGTAGGCCAAGGATTATCAAGACAAGCTGAGTAGTTGGTCTGAGTTGCCCACTCACCAGTAGACAAACATTCACGAGTTATATTATCTAAATTAAAATATTTCTTGTAAATACTTATTTTTAACCAAAGAAGACCATCTGCTCGCTGATCACCCTTAAACCACGCTTCATTCTGTAATATAGTTTTAAGCTTTCAAAATATCTCTGACAAAAGAATTTAAAAAATTCCTATTCAAAATGAAACAAAAATTTTAGTTTTAATCACATAGTCTGTCAGTTATATATAGATACCCACTCTATTGTTGTTCTATTTTCTAACTCTTATTTTCTCTTGGTTCCACCTCTACACTGCCAATTTCTTGACGTGGTAGCACGAATAAGAAATTGGGCAACTGTGTACAGTTTAAAGTCACTCCGGAATATATGTGCAATGAGCTGGTATGCGATGCAAGTAACATTTAAAAGTGAAAAAGGAATTGAGTTTTTGCCATAAATCTCAATCTTCAAATAACTATATCTCTACAACCAAAATATGTAAACCTTTGATATCTCAAATTTAGATTATTTGATATAACAAAAGTCATGGTTTGATATGTCTAAGGTCTACGAAATTGGGTTGTAAAGCTATATGAATTTAAAAATCAGAGTTTGTTGCAAAGACTCAATTCCTTTAAGATCAGTAATTAAAGACGTATTCAGGGGGGGGGGGTTAGGTGGGCTCACCCCGCTGGACCAGTGAAAGCTACGGTTTTCAGGCAAGAAAAAAAATTAAACCTTCCCCCTGGACAAATTTCTAAATATGCCCTGTATAGTGTAATATAAAATGTAAAGTTCCGAGAATACAATTTTCTTCGTTTACTCCCTGTCCCCTATAGAAAAGTAAACATGAGAAAAATTAGATTATATTTTCCTATTTCTTATATTTATACTGCAGGGCAGGTATTGAAGTAGGATAAGAGAGTGATGGATGAATTGATGAATCACAGATGAAAGAATGAGAAACGAATAGTTAATTTTAGTTTAATTTTATAGTAAACTAATTGATGGATCTATGAATTATTTAATGAATAGATGATTCTATGGATTACTACATGAATGGATGGAACTATGGATTTTTAAATGAAACTATAGATCTATGGATTAGTAAATAGATGGATGGATTAGTAAATGAATGAATGGATCTATGGATTATTAAATGAATGAATGGATCTATGGATTAATATATTAATGGATGGATTATTCTATGGATGAATAGATAATGGAGGAAACCCATAAATCAATAAATACACACTACATAGTACCTACTGCAGAGGATTTGGGTGGAGGATATATAAACATAGTTGCAACCTTTGGTACATTTTTCCAGTGGTTTTTTTACACAACACAGGAAGCAATATTTTTGGGAGGATAGGATAAAGGAGGAGGGAGGGGAGACGGGGCAGGGGGGGGCATGAAAAGGGTGTACTCAGGTATTCCCTTCTTGTCGAAGAAATCAACCAAAGTTTTATTTACTCTAAAGAAAACTTGCACAAAACTTACAAACATCAAGAAACTAGTTAATATGAAAATACATTTAAAGTTCGGATTTAGTTCGGATTCATTTCACAAAGTTTCATTTCATATTGAGTTCTAAGTTCTTGTCCTCCCCCCTTTAGAGTTCTTGTCCTCTACCCTTTAGAGTTCTTGTCCTTTACCCTTTAGAGCTCTTGTCCTTTACCCTTTAGAGTTCTCGTCCTCTACCCTTTAGAGTTCTTGTCCTCTACCCTTTTGAGTTCTTCTACTTGATAGAAGTACTTTCTAAATGTTAAAACTTTATATTTGATCCAGTTAAATATCTAATCATAACCTAGACTAGGAGATTTAAATTCTAATTCACTCTCAAGGTCAAGAAGGATTGAAGTTGAATCATTTTCAAAAAATGTAAATTTTTAGATTTATAATTTTACTAAACAGGACTCACGTGAAGTGTTGAACATTCGTCCTTCATACTCCGTCATACAGGGTAGTACTGCAGTTCGTCCTGCACTTACTCCGGGTATACAGGTCACAGTATCCTAAAACATACACAGATAAAAATGGGATTTAAGGGGCTTTTAATCATAACATTACTTATTATCTCAGAACATTTTCTCTTTTATCACACAAACTTTTGCTACAAACTCCAATTTTTATCACCTATCTTTGCAACCCGTCGTAGATCAAAAAGTCTAAGTTTTTAATACATAGGTTGCAAATATATAAGGATTAGAAAATTAGAATTCTTGAATGGTTTACGATGCTAAACCCGTTATAGTTTTATGTAATAAGAAATAGAAATAATTTCGTTGCTCTATTTTGAAAATTATATTTTGCATATGCATGGATCAAGCAATGCCATTACCAAAGAAACTTATTATTTGCCAGAAACTATAACTTTCTAATCCTTATATCTCTGCAACCCGAGGCCGAATTTAAAGAATTTGAGTCGCGGCTTAATTTTTAGGAACATTTAAAATTGAATGCAGTTCAGACAAATGGTTGTTGTTTACTGGTAAAAATATTTGTCTGGTCTACGGTATATATTATCTGAATAAACATAAGTATATTTATAAATATTTATATATATTTATATATGTTTATATATATATTTATATATTTACTTAATCGAATATTTTTCTCATGATATAAATCAAGATAATTGAATGAAAAGATATATTTATCGGTTTTCTACCATTCTATATATTTACGTTACAAAAGACATGTTAGAAAATCTCTTTTTATCAAAAGTTCTTTTTCCGGGAGAGAGCGGGAGACAATGACTGGAATGATTGTTTTCTTGGTTCTTTCTTTGAATTTAAAGATTTTTACATTTTTAATAAATTTCTGAAAACATTCATCTTCAGAGGTCTAAACTTGAACACTTGATCTTGATATGTTTATATTTGAGGATCAGTGTTAGATCCTTCAATTAAAGATATCCCTGCAGGATATGCATGCCACCACGGAATATCCCTGCAGGATATGCATGCCACCATGGAATATCCCTGCAGGATATGCATGCCACCACGGAATATTCCTGCAGGATATGCATGCCACCAAGGAATATTCCTGCAGGATATGCATGCCACCAAGGAATATCCCTGCAGGATATGCATGTCACCAAGGAATAAAAATGTGTTAAATTAATTTGGATAAGATGGCCGGAGATCAATGCTTGATTCCAAGATTCACAACACAAAAGATCTTCAGGGCACATTTTTAGTTACAAAATAAAAACATTTTTAGTTACAAAAAAAAACAATTTTAGTTACAAAATAAAAACATTTTTAATTACAAAAAAAAAACATTTTTAGTTACAAAATAAAAACAATTTTAGTTACAAAATAAAAAATCGTTATCAAATGAGGACACTAATGTTTATGTTGAGGGAATGATACAGTAAATGGATTAGAATATTTGAAAAGTGTTCTATGCATTTAATAATTTTGACATTATTCTATACAACTATTTTTCTCAAGAAATATAAATCAACTTAATTTAATCGATGTGTATGGAATATTTGTTCTTTCCTTATCTGTAAATTATATTCATAGACACAGTTTAAATATTAATCAAATTTTTCAGGATTCATTTTAGACCTACAAGATGTTTTTACAGTATATAATTGCTGAATAAGAACGGTAATTTAATCTTTGAAATTCTCCCGTATTGTTCATTTTGTAGGATACATTTTTAAAGAAACGTTTTTTTAAAATTATTTAAGAACGACGACGAAAAATGTAGCACAAATTTTACAGGTCTCAAAAGAATCTTCAAAAATGTCTCTACAATAATGCCCTCTCAGCTCAACTACCATGACCAGCCGGCCCCGGTCACTCCCTTTAAGTGAAATATTTACAGTTGATTCATAAAACCGTGAAATAGGAAGACGACATTTAAGCTTTATTTTGTGTATTTGTTGTTGTTTTAAAGCAAATATCTTTAACAGTAAATAAAAAAAAAATACTAAGAGAAATAGGTCCGTGTAAACTGCACAATTAATGAGTTAAGCCTTCCCATTCCAAATTATTATGAGTACCACTGTATGAAATGTACTTTATGTTTTGTAAAAAAAATATTATTTACCCAGAATGGAGGACAGGATATAGATATATTTTCGGACTTTACTCCAGTCATTTCAGGGTACCCGGAGCCAGGATCTGAACCAGTCACCCACATCTCAGCCAACATTTCACAGATAACACTATCCGATATATTACCACCCTTAATAAATAGATTATTCAGTTTGTAGTATGGAGTAGATATAGATAGATGGGATGGATAGCTAAATGGAGTAGATATAGATAGATGGGATGGATAGCTAAATGGAGTAGATATAGATAGATGGCATGGATAGCTAAATGGAGTAGATATAGATAGATGGGATGGATAGCTAAATGAAGTAGATATAGATAGATGGGATGGATAGGTAAATGGAGTAGATATAGATAGATGGCATGGATAGCTAAATGGAGTAGATATAGATAGATGGGATGGATAGCTAAATGGAGTAGATATAGATAGATGGGATGGATAGCTAAATGGAGTAGATATAGATAGATGGGATGGATAGCTAAATGAAAGTAAAAAAAAGATGTATAGTTCCGTGAAGGAATGAAGACAGCTAAATGAAAATGTTAGATGGCACTAAAGGAAGATATAATTTTATAGTTCCGTCAAGGAATGAAGACAGCTAAATGAAAATGTTAGATGGCACTAAAGGAAGATATAATTTTATAGTTCCGTCAAGGAATNCCCCCCCCCCCACTCCTTACGAAAACCTTCATAACAATGATAAAAGAGGATTTAATGGATTAAATTTAGAGGAATTATCCCTTGGAATTTCAAAATTGATTTTGTGGGTAATAAAAATAAATTTTTTTTGTAAGATTGTTTTCAATATTTTTTCCATAATTATATTTGCCAATTTTTTAAAGTGATTATTTTTTATCTATTGTTTATATTTTTTAATGTATTTTCTAACTCTAATCAATATTTATTCATGAGCATAAATCATTAATTCTGGATACACCATAGATACTTGACAATTTCTAGAAAAAAATATATTCAAAAAAAGTTTTACTCTATCTAAACTTAAACCTTACTCAACCATAAAATATTGCATTTTATTTGATTGTTGAATTATTCAAGGATAATTGCATTTTTAGACGTTCGTTTTTTCCTCTCCTGAAGTTCTAAAAAACTTTTAATTGTTATTATAAAATTAAAACTTTTTTCTCTCGGAGAAGACAGATTCAATAAAAAAGTTTTGATAACATTTTAAATGAAATCATCCACACATGATAAATAGGGGAATATTATTCTTGGAGTTTAAAGTAAGTTAATTTTAATCAGTCTAAATAGGGAAAACTGGAATAGGGAAAATTAACTAGTTTAAAGTTAGACTAAAGAGTGTTACATGTTAAAAAAAACTGATCCTTGATTAAAAAGGTAATTATTTCTTAATTAGCAATTAATTAAAGGTGCCGACTGCCGATAAACCCCTCCTACCTACCCCCTTTCCCCCCCAATATATCTATGAAATATATTTACGCATTACATCTACTAAATATATTTACGCAATATATCTACGCAATATATCTACGAAATATATCTATGAAAGATATTTACGCATTACATCTACGAAATATATCTATGAAATATATCTACGCAATATATCTACGCAATATATCTACTAAATATATCTACGCAATATATCTACGCAATATATCTACGAAATATATCTATGAAAGATATTTACGCATTCCATCTACGAAATATATCTACTCAATATATCTACTAAATATATCTATGAAATATATCTACGCAATATATCTACGCAATATATCTACTAAATATATCTACGCAATATATCTACGCAATATATCTACGCAATATATCTACGCAATATATCTACGAAATATATCTACGCAATATATCTACGAAATATATCTACGCAATATATTTACGCAATATATCTACTTAATATATCTACGCAATATATATACTAAATATATCTACGCAATATATCTACGAAATATATCTACGTAATATATATACGCAATATACCTACTAAATATATCTACGTAATACATCTACGCAAAATATCTACTAAATACATCTACGCAATATATCTACGCAATATACCTACTAAATATATGTACGCAATATATCTGCGCAATATATCTACGCAATATATCTACGCAATATACCTACTAAATATATCTACGCAATAAATCTACTAAATATATCTACGCAATATATCTTCTAAATAGATCTACGCAATATACCTACTAAATATATCTACGCAATTTATCTACTAAATATATCTACGCAATATATCTACGCAATATACCTACGATATGTATATGCGCAATATATCTCGAAATATCTATAGAAATCATTGGAATTGAACGTAGCGTGATAATTTATCTAGTTTCAACTCACAATCATCATGTTTTAAGATTAGTTTGAATAGTTAGCAGATTCGTATTTATAAAAAAATAATTATGTTTTGGGACTGAAATCAAGGATATTTTGGACGGATTGTCAGATTTTTTTTTAATTCTTCAGAGAAAATAAGTGTGTCATGAAGCTAAAAAAAGTGAAAAAATAAGTTTTTAGAGAAGTAAATTCAAGGTCTAAACATGAAACTAGGTGAGAAGGTAATCAAAACAAAAGTGAATGAAATGAGTTTCCAAGAAGAAAATCGGAGAATGGGAAATAGGGAACAAAACGTAAATTTTAAAAATATATATAGGGGATAGGGGGGCCGGGGGAGAGGGGTGGAGAAAGAGAATGAGGGTAGGGAGAAATGAACTGCACGCTTAATCAAATTCTTTTCACTTAAAGGGAATGTCGAAGTAACTCGAAGTGGGCATACATTTAATTCGATTCACAACATTACCCTTTAAACCTTTGTCTGAGAAAAAATGATTGACATATCCTTGTTTTTCTATCTAAAAGTTAATTGTTTTCAATTGTAGTTTTTCCATAAAAGTGAGTGGTGAATGCAGCAGAGAGAAGAAAGGAAACTTGCATGAACGGGGGAAGGCAGGCGGCCATAAGCCACAACATTTTCCCCTTCAATGCCACATTTAAACCTTTTTGTCTTCCGGCAGCAATAAGCCACAACTGTACGGTCTTCCATGCACAACATTTGAACCTTCTGCCAATTAGTAGGTTTTCAAATGGTAAATTTAGTGCATTGAAATTGAAATTTTCAATAAACCAGCCACGTCATGCATAAGATATATATAAATAGATCTTTATATTTAAGTTTTATATTGAAATAATAAGGATTTACTTTGATGTAAACTGATAAACCTATATTTTCCAAAAAATAAATTCAATCTTTCCTCTAAAATGGCTTATTTTTGAAAACATTACGAACAATAAAAATGATGTACCATAACATACTCTTTATGTTCAAAGGTCACTCACAACCGAAAAATTTCAAAATAGATTTTTTGTGTAAATCTGTAATGCTCATGTAATGTCAGTTAATATTGTGATTTTTTTATCTTTTCTTCTTCTTTAGACTTCCCCGAACAAAATTATGTAAAACTTCTTTGTAAATTGTAAAGCAGTTTTATCAACTGAATACACAATTAATTGATCTTTAATAAACTTTTAAAATGTCTTAAAGGTATCATCTTTCGCGTAATGTGGCTAGATTTTTTAAATTGCAATTTCAATGCACTAAATTTATCATTTAAAAACATATGCCGGAAGGGTCAAATGTTGTAGCATGGAAGACCGTATGGTTGTGGCTTAAATGGCTGCCGAAAGACAAAAAAACTAATATGTGGCATGGAAGGGGAAAATGTTGTGGCTTATGGCCGCCTGCCTACCCCGCTCCTTACATTATTGATTTTTTTTCAGAAGGAAAACTCTTTTAATTAGAAATTACGTCGACACTCCCTTTAATACCTGGTTAAATACCTAACTCTCCGCCAGGCCCTTTAATGCCTGGTTAAATACCTGACTCTCCACCAGACCCTTTAATGCCTGGTTAAATACCTGACTCTCCGCCAGGCCCTTTAATGCCTGGTTAAATACCTGACTCTCCGCCAGGCCCTTTAATGCCTGGTTAAATACCTGACTCTCCGCCAGGCCCTTTAATGCCTGGTTAAATACCTGACTCTCCGCCAGGCCCTTTAATGCCTGGTTAAATACCTGACTTTCCGCCAGGCACTTTAATGCCTGGTTAAATACCTGACTCTCCGTCAGGACCTTTATTGCCTGGTTAAATACCTGACTCTCCGCCAGACCCTTTAATGCCTGGTTAAATACCTTACTCTCCGCCAGGCCCTTTAATGCCTGGTTAAATACCTGACTCTCCGCCAGACCCTTTAATGTCTGCTTAAGTACCTGACTCTCCGCCAGACCCTGGAAAGGTTCCCAAAACCTCGCGGGGTAAAATCCAAACCCTGAAAAAAATATCTAATTAAGAAACCACCTTTTCAAAATCTACTAAACTGCAACGGGAAAAGAAAGACGACTGTTAAACTCTAGTTATGTCTTTAAATAGTTCAAAGAATATGAAATTATGCAGTGTACACAAACCAATTTAAAATTTTTGTGATATTACTGTTACGACTTTGTGTCCTTGTAGATCCCCTAGTTTTGATCACACAAGTATGAGAAAACAAGTTTATCCGGTTACATCAAAACTTTTTCTTTCAATACCTCTTCATTAAGGTAAGTTAGAATTGATAAGATTTAGGACTTTAACCTTACGTGAAATACCCTTAATTAGTTGGTTTTTAAGCTACTGGTCAGACTATAACAGCATCAAATACTCCGTATTTTTAAGGGTCTCACTGTACCATTCTCTTTATAGTAAAGAAGTTCAAATAACTGTTTCATCTGTTTAATTAGCTGTTCAGTACTGGGTTCTGGTTTAAGTTAGGATTTTACGGAAAGAGTGAAAACTAACCTGGGACCGGTATTATCCCTGAATCTTGAACCATCCTGAAAAATGAAGAAAATTAAAATCATTTTTTTCCTCAAATTCTTCTTCTCATAGTCATGGCTATCAAATTAACTCACTCATTTCATAGCCATTTTTTTTACTGTAATCATTTTCCTCATCTTTTATCTTTTTCAGATCTTTAGTCCTGAATTACTTCTAGAACTGTTCCTGTGCAATGTTTCAAAAACCTTGACGTAAATATATTTAGTAAATGTTCTCTTTTTGTTCTGTTGAGGATGAGAGGAGAGAGAAAGGAGTTGAAGTGACCAGATCTGCTTAATGTCAAGTATTGCATTTTCCTAAAGAAAACACAATAGTTGCCGAAACCTTTGACTATACTGGAGAAACGGACTGTACATTTCTTTATAGTATATTAATCTCATTTAATTATATTATTTTATTTTTTGTGATGATTTATCTAAGAATTCTGAATTACCAGGGGGGGGGAGGGGGGAGGTATTTTATTACATTTCTAAAACCATCCGAACCTTTACTGTCATCAATCTATAAATCCATCCTATCAATCTATCTATCCATCCATCCTATCAATCTATCTGTCCATCCATCCTATCAATCTATCTCCATCCATCCTACCAATCTATCTATCCATCCATCCTATCAATCTATCTATCCATCCATTCTATCAATCTATCTGTCCATCTATCCTACCAATTTATCTCCATCCATCCTACCAATCTATCTCCATCCATCCTATCAATCTATCTATCCATCCATCCATCCTACCAATCTATCTCCATCCACATTCTATCAATCTATCTGTCCATCCATTCTATAAATCTATCAATCAATCTATCCTATCAATCACTCTTGTTTTGTTTTCTTCTCCGTCCAAACATGTTTGCTTTCAGTGAAAACACTAGGAAGGAGATTGTGGATAAACCAAAAATCTATTTTTATTTCTTGACACGCAGATTTCTAGTTGCGCAGATAAACAGTTATTTTTCTTCACGTTTTCTAATATATTCTTCTGTATAAACATATATATTTCATACAATTTTGTTAAACTGAAAATACTTAAGAAATCAATAAAAACTTACACAAGGTAAATCAGTTCTGTTAATTTGTATGTAAAGATTTATCATCGGGAATTGAAAATAAACCTGAAACCAAATATTTGAATAATTTAATTTCTGTGTTTTGCAGAAACCGCTTCTATTGGGAAAGAATGAATTCTGTCAAATATTTTTTCTATTTCAAATATTGATAATGTTAATACATACTTGAAAGGGATGAGGAGACGCCTATATTTGATAAATGGAGAAATATTTATTAAAAATCGAGATTTATTTTGAGTGGAATTGAAGGTTGTAACATCCATTTTTTACTTTATTGAAAAATGAACCATTTATTGTGATTAACGGATTACTTGCCTCAAAATTAAAGTTCATATATCCTAAAAACCTGATGGTGTATACTTTTGATTTCAAAGTTTTTTAATTATAAAAGGGCCACGGCATCAGGTTTTAAAGATAAAATATAAGAAAACCATATAAATAAATTATATTTCAAACCCCGTCGTACTTTATACACTGAAGGGAGCCAGTGGAGAGCAGAGAGGAGGAGGGGGGGGGGGTTGAAAGAAAGATTGGATCTTTTTATGGTTTTGTTTAATCATGAATCATGATTTTTTCAATGACTTCCAAAATTTGTAGAGATCAAACCTGACACAGAGCTGCAGTTAGGATTCAGAATACAAAGTTAAAGAGAAATATATATATATAAAATACAGAGCTAAAGAAAATAGCATCACTAGATAATTTTTAATAATTTTTTAGAAAAACCTATCTAATATTTATGATAAGCAATATTTTTTATCTAACTATTTTCCTTTCTGTATTTACCAAACTTTTCAGATAGGCCTGCAGACATTTATACATTTAACTTCTTTATGAAGACATCATGCATACTATTGAATACATAATTTCACAGAATATTGTACATATATATATATATGTGTGTGTAATATAATTATAATATATGTAATAATTTTACCTCAATATTTTTCATATCTGTGCAGAGAGTTCTAAACGTTGACGGAAGGGATTAAGTGAACCTTTTCCTTAGTTTGACATGGTTTATTAAACCTGTTCAATTAGAAACCCCTGTATCTCTAGGTTGCTATGGTTTATTAAACCTGTTAAATCAGAAACCCCTGTATCTCTAGGTTGCTATGGTTTATTAAACCTGTTCAATTAGAAACCCCTGTATCTCTAGGTTGCTATGGTTTATTAAACCTGTTCAATTAGAAACCCCTGTATCTCTAGAATGCTATGGTTTATTAAATCTGTTCAATCAGAAACCCCTGTATCTCTAGGATGCTATGGTTTAAACCTGTTTAATCAGAAACCCCTGTATCTCTAGGTTGCTATGGTTTAAACCTGTTTAATCAGAAACCCCTGTATCTCAAGGATGCTATGGTTTATTATACCTGTTTAATCAGAAACCCCTGTATCTCTAGGTTGGCTGTAGAACAATGATATGGATATTAATGGTTTCCTTCCTTGTAATGAGAAGCATATCTCTGCCAATCTTAGATGTTTATTCATGAACATATAATCTGTACATTGTACATAGTCAAGTACAATCAGCCAGACTTTTTTATCTTTTGCTTTTCTGTACATTTTACACTGCATGTACGAATGTGTTGTACATATGTACAGTGTTGTGGATTTTCTATAAGAATGTCTATTCCTCATAGTTTTGAGTGTCACAGACCTCCCCCCCTCCCCCCCCCAAAAAAAAAAATATCCAATATGCCACATTGATTTCCAATATATGAAAAACGTTAGAATAGAAAATTAAACCAGACAGAGATGCCATACTCATATCTTTTTAAGAATTTGCATTGGACATCCTAAATATTAACTTCAAGAATACCAATGCACTGCATTATATTCATCAGAAGGGAGAAAAGGGTCAAAACTTTCTTTTGGGGGTCAATAAACTGGAAAAGTAACCTGACTTGTAAAAATAAACAACTTCAAGATTGCATAATGTTTCATGGTTCGCACTGTACACTTTCTGTCAATTTGGAAGATTTTTAATATTAGTTGTAGATTCGAAATTTAGTGCTAGATTCGAAAGGAATTGATTTTTTGCCACAAACTCTTATTTTATAAACCTAATATCTTTACAGCCCAATGTCGTAGACCTCAGCTATTTTAAACTATGAAATCTGGTAAATTAAAATAATCTAAGTTTTATATATAAAAAGGTTGCAAAGATATAGGGTTAAGAAAATCTGAGTTTGTGGCAAAGACTCAATTCCTTTATTTGGTTTCTTTCTTGTTAAATCTAAGTAGTTCTAGTAGAAGAGTACATAGGTATGCCTAAGTAAGTGATTAATGTTTAGAGGAAGGACGGATGGAGGTTGGAGACTGCAAATTGCCAAGAAATCTATTCCACCACAACCTATAGGGTTCTATAGATATCATTAGGACCAAGAGAAGGAATAAGGAAAAAGATAAGATTAAGATCATGAATTGACCTATTAAAGATAGACTTTTGATTTTTCCTTTTTCACTTTTTTCGCGGCGAATCCATTTTAAATGAAAAAGTATTATATGTATAGAATATATATAAACTAGTTTTCCAGCTAGAACCAAATTTTAGAGTTTAGAATGCATAAATAAACTAGTTCTCCAGCTAGAACCAAGGTTAGAGTCTAGAATACATATAAAATCTATTCAGTTCTCCAGCTAGAACTAAGGTTTAGAGTCTAGACTGCATATATAAACTAGTTCTCCAACTAGAACTAAGGTTTTTAGTTCAGAATACATATATTAACTGGTTCTCCAACTAGAACTAAGGTTTTTAGTTCAGAATACATATATTAACTGATTCTCCAACTAGAACTAAGGTTCAGAGTTCAGAATACATATATTAACTGGTTCTCCAACTAGAACTAAGGTTCAGAGTTCAGAATACATATATTAACTGGTTCTCCAACTAGAACTAAGGTTCAGAGTTCAGAATATGTAATTAAACTGGATCTCCAGCTAGGACCAAGGTTTAGAGTTTAGAATATGTAATTAAACTGGTTCTCCAGCTAGAACTAAGGTTTAGAGTTCAGAATACGTAACTAAACTGGTTCTCCAGCTAGGACCAAGGTTTAGAGTTCAGAATACGTAATTAAACTGGTTCTCCAGCTAGAACCAAGGTTTAGAGTCTAGAAACGAAGAACGAAACCTCACTTGCCAAAAATCATGTCCAGAACTTTGGCATACTAGACATTGGACAACAACAAAACCATACTAATAATCTAGAATCTTGGCCAATTATACCCCCCCATCCCACCCCCATCATCCACTTTTCTATTTATGTTACTAATTGAATGTTTTAACTTATCGAGATAAAAATTTAAATCAAAAATGTATCCAGGTATAAAGTAGGATCTGAAATGTATCCAGGAACAAATGGCATCAGAAATGTATCAAGGTAATACAGTAGGATCTGAAATGTATCAAACCATACATACGTAGGATAAGGATCTGAAATGTATCCAGGTATAAAGAAGAATCTAAAATGCATCCAGGTGTAAAGTAGGATCTGAAATGTATCCAGGTATAAAGTAGGATCTGAAATGTATCCAGGTATAAAGTAGGATCTGAAATGTATCCAGGTATAACGAAGGATCTGAAATGTATCCAGGTATAAAGTAGGATCTGAAATGTATTCAGGGATAAAGTAGGATCTGAAATGTATCCAGGTATAAAGTAGGATCCGAAATGTATCCAGGTATAAAGTAGGATCTGAAATGTATCCAGGTATAACGAAGGATCTGAAATGTATCCAGGTATAAAGTAGGATCTGAAATGTATTCAGGGATAAAGTAGGATCTGAAATGTATCCAGGTATAAAGTAGGATCCGAAATGTATCCAGGTATAAAGTAGGATCTGAAATATATCCAGGTATAAAGTAGGATCTGAAATGTATCAAGGTATAAAGAAGGATCTAAAATGTATCCAGGTATAAATA